ACATTATAGAAAATACTGTATTTAATAAAAAATGCAAGGCAAAACTTGGTTTAGCTCAGACCAAGGGAAAGAAATAGACGCCAAAACAAGTACATATATGTGAGTTTGTCCACATGAGTATTGTTACTAAAATATATATGGAGAGCAAAATATCATATGTTCTTTAAGACCGGAAGCCGATGCTGACCCTCTCATTCTGACTCAATTAATTTTTGGTGGAACTATTCTTCTCCTATGATAGACCTTTATGTATATTTTCATTGTTTTAAAACCTGAAATACACCTGAAATGTCACTGGGATTTCTGTCAGTGTTCATCAAGAATGAATTTTTTTGGTTCTTTTTTCATCAAAAAGCAATAGGCAATAGAGGTTGCCAGGTCTGACCCAGTGCCAAGGTTGCGTTTTCTTAACAGATGATTTGAAATTCTCTTTAGAGGACTAATTTCTGATTATGCCATGACTTCTAAGTTTTCTTAACTGAAAAAAAGAGATGAATGCTTTCTCCCCTCCAATGATTTTAATCCAGTACTAGAGGCAACATGATCAACAGTTTCTCTTAGACAACAATGAATATTTTCTTCCCAGCTTGGTGACTCTAGCTTTCCACTGTTGAGTATCTGTGTAAGTAATCTCAATTAGCCTGTGTTTCACAGAGCTATGTATGTTTTAAGGGTCCCATTTGTCTTTTTTCGGAAGTCCAGAAAGCCTTGCCAATAAGGAAATGCTTAGGGAAATGTTTAGTGTTATCTGGCAAATGTTTTGTGTTGCATGCATCAAGAGCTGCTCTTAACAGATAAGCACGTATCTTATTGGGATATTTTAATTCTGTTTCTAAGCAAAGAATTAGAAGTTTATAAAGAAATGCCTTCCTTGAACATCTTGAGCTCTTTTGTGCAGTAAAAAGCAACAGAGGCTAGGTGCAATGTCATGGAAAAAGTCACGCTGAGGATACCCATTGCAGTCCTGGCGTTGGGAGATTGCACCAGGCATTGGGAGATACCGAACAGCAAGAAATTAGTGAGCTTCTCTTGAAGGTGTTTGCCTTTAACTGTACTTTGGTTGGACAGTCAACTGAATAAAGTTCAGAAAGCATCCAGAAGTGGTCATCCTGTTCCCGCCCCATCAGCTCTACAGCTCGCAGGTTAGGTGGGTTTGCCCTGTCAGTGGGATGCCTTAAGAAAACACTAATAGCTTCCAGCTGGGTGGAAAATCAAAACGTTTGGGGGCTGACAAAACTAGCAGATTTGAATTTGAAAGCCCAGCTAATGCCTTCATTTTTATTTACCACTCGCCCATAAAAGATTATTTTCCAATATGTCAGCCTCATTTGGTGGCCAGTGGTCTGAAAGTGAAAGTGGAACAAGCAAGCGGGGAAATCTGGACATTAGTGAGTCCGCCCTTTCAAGCTGGTGTGCCACTTTGTGGAATGGCCTTCCCTGAGATTGGGGGGGTCCTAATGACCATTCATCAATGCTCGTTGACTGATCATTGAGTGCCTTCTCATTCAGTTTATCAAGTCTTGCACATAAAAAGTCAGAATAAGCATTATTCAGCTTTGTTAAAGCCAACTAGGAGTAAAATGCTCCATTTGAACCCATTTTGCCCTTGGTTTTTCACTTTGTTAATGCAGTCCTGCTTAAATGAGTGCTTTTATTGGGTCGGTTAGAATATCTGAAACTATTAATTCTCTTGTATTGAATAGCTGGTGGCAGGCCAGAGCAGATGGGGTAGAAAACTATTTGGTTGGGTGTATTGCTTTCAATTAGGATCAATGAGGTTTCAGCTCCTTTGAATTAACTCACTTAATACCCACTGTGTGAAGTCACAATGTATCACAACAGTCTGCTATAAGTAGAGCGGGAAGTTGAGAAGTCCTACAGAAAAGCTTTGAGTTAAATTCTTCCTTCACTGTTAATAGAGACCTTTCATTAACTACAGATGCGTTTCAGTGGACTTCGAGTCCCTGTTATTAAGCTAGGTTCGCGCAAAAGGCTATCTCTGTGCTTTTAAATGATGATCATTTGGAATTTCTCTTTTCCATCAGATCCATGTCTTAGTGACCTTATATAATCCACAGATAAAAATCTTCTTTTTTCCCCTTCAAATATATGAGTATGGGGACTGTTTTGCCTTCTTTACCCATTTTCAAAATTAAGAGTTGCAGAGGATTATTTAAAATTATTTTGTGAAGTGTTTTGAATGATTGTCAAAGAAAGAGCTGGTTTCTACCCAGGAAGGTGTAGCATAGTGTTCACCATAAAGAAACTGGCTGAAGATTATCTTCTGGATCTTTCACCCTCTTTGTATCCCTCTCATTTTGATATTACACATAATACTGACTCTTGTGATACAGCTTAATTGTTCATATGTTAAAACCCCTGCCTTTCCTTTCTTGGCAGAGAACAAAGCGTTTTGCAGAATGAGCTGTCCACCTTTGCTTGGCTTCCTAAAATTTCAGACCTGGTGCAAAAACTGTTACTGCAAGCTTTAAGGGACTGCATTAAAAATGGGGGTGGGGAAAGTGAATAAATATCCACAGATATTTATTCAGGGAGGACTGCCAAATGGGTTGCAGCCTGCCTCAGTGTATTAAATAATGAGAGGGAAAAACTATTCATGCAGCTGGCTGCTTGAGAAAATGCTGAAGTAGTCTCAGATGCACAGGCATTCTGTTAGCCCCTTCCACGAGCAGACTTCTAGGTGAGAATCTCCAGGGATCCGGGTTTTGTTGACGTGGATCAATTTAAATGGCAATTACTGTAGTCAGATAACAGCTTAAAAAGGCTTTTTACACACAGAAAAAAAAGATGCATAATCACACAGCATATGGAAGTTCAATTTCGTGAGCCATGGTCTGTGGATTTACAATGTACTGATATTAAGACCTACTTTTAAGAGTGAATGTTGTTCAGTTTTATTAAAACGCATCATACCTTTGACACATTACTTGCTACTCTGAAGCTGATTCAGGCTGCATCTATGTTGATGAAAGGTTGCATTTCCAACTGTGAAAATGTTTTTCCTTTCATGTAGAGTACAGCATTAAAAAAGAAAAACAACACAGCAAATACAATACTAACTGACTGGTTTTAAATAGTGCATCAAATAATAAAACAAAAAAGAATGGTAAATTCTTTGAAGGCCTTGGTGGTGCAGACTTTGCTCGTTATTCTCTCCCTTTCCCCCCTCCATGAAAGAGGTCTGTCATGAAAACGTTTTCATGTTTCGGTGTTTCTCTTGGGCTCTCTGACCTTCATTACAGTAGGTACCTGGTGAAGATGAAGAACAGACCCACCTCAAGTAGCGGGCACATTGTATCATTAGTACTGGGGTGTTTACTGGGGCGAGGGGAGCTGCTCCTTTGCTTCTTTGATCATCTCAAATTTGCCAGCCCTCTTTGGAGTCTCAACTATTTAAGTGAAGTGTAAGGGCAGCACTTAGTGCTAAAAAGTTATTGTGGAAATATCAGTAAATTAAGTGACTAATTTGCTTTAAGTGAGAATAATTCATGAGCTCAGGCCGCATATTGGAAGGGTTGTTATTTTTTGCTTAATTTTGCATGTGTGTCGTTTTCCTAACTAGATCTTTATCAGGCTCTGTGGCAGCTAGAGGAAGGAAGAGCCCCCAAAAGCAGGGTTATTTCTGCGTAGCGGTGGCAGAAGATGGCATAACGCAAAATCAGGGGGATGCATAAATAAAAGTACAAAAGGATGAGTCCTGTACTGACAAGAATGCAGCTCCTGAAGATCTGAGTAAGAATCGCTGCCTTTCTAGGTAGGTTTCAATGTATACTGGAAAAGGAAAAGGCAGAACCAGGAGCTACACGCTAATTGCTAAAAAAGTACTCATTACTAAAGGGAGAAGCACTTGCAAGTGCTAAATGGGAGGAGAGTTTTAAAAAGAAGATATTTTTCCTTGTGCCTGGAATTTTGTGCAAGGCTATACGTGCTACAGAAGGCATGCGAGTCAGGCGTATGTTTCTCCTAAGAGGCAAAGATGTTTTACAAAGGACTAAAGAGGGACTGCTGAGAAGAAAATAGCCAGCTTTAGATAAAGCACTATAACAAAGACTTGTAGTTTTATGTATCATGGTGTCCATTAAAGCTTAATAGGGAAGAGTGCATTGAACCTAGCCAGGCATACGTTATTCATGGGAAGGATAAACATTTAAGGGGTGTGCAAAATCAGAAATTGGGAGGACATGATTGTTTAGCTTTTGAAAAAGCTTTACAGGGAAGATTTTGTTTTCATCTCCCATGGATCACCATGCAAGGTAAAGGAGAGTAAGCTGCAAATGTTTGGAACATATCAATGCAGGAATCCCAGGGGGTTAAAAGCACTATAGTAAAATAAAAGTGGTCTGCTTTCTAAGTGTGTTCTATTTTACACATACTACTGAGAATCTGAGAAAGGGAGTGATTTTGATACTCTGTTCACTATAGTAAAACAGCATAATAATGACAAAAGTGTGGGGAGGAGAGGAAAAGGAGGGGGGACCTTCTCATATATCCTCGTGCACGTTTTGAATTTTCAGCTAAATAAACAAACGTAGTCCTATGGAGTGCAAAATTACGGCTGTTAAAGAATGAATTTGTTTCCACTTTTGGAGGGGAGCTGATTTGAAGCAATGCTTTTTTTCTTTAATTGTTGTCAGCAGAAGAAAGGGTTAACTTTTAAAGAAAAAAAATGAATAATTCAGTGTTGGGCTTATCGCTCTGCATTTTACTTTCTATTCTTTGGTCATCTGGAACTTGGTGTGAAAGGTAGAGTAAAAGGAGTCAGCTGAGGGGAGCCGGGGTTGTGATAATTTGCACACACATCCCTGTCATTGTTCTGCCTGAAGAGACAGGGCTGGGTTCAAGGCCACATGTGCTCCTGTCATCATTCACATTTCTGCTCCAAGTGCAATACAGAGTGTCAGCTCTCCATCTGTCTTTGCCTGGCAAACGCACGCGCCCAGCATCCTGCCTCCAGCTACGCTGCCACAGCCAGTTCTGATGGCCCTCCTCGCTTCTCTCTGTTCATTCCAGAACAGGAGGCACTGAGCCCTAAATAAGCTTGCTTTTAGGAGAGAGCCATTTACAGTGTGGTATATTTTATCCAAGGATGCCTGGTGAGTTGAAATTATTGCAGCTCTTTCAGTTTTAAATGAGGAAACGCTAATTGTTTTTTGATAGTATTTTTTTTTTTCCCCCCCCTCTTTTAATATTGAGGGTGATTTGCAAGCTGATATGGGTATGGAGCGATTGTGGATGCTAATGCTGTTGTGTATATGTTTGGGGGAGGGGAATTTGTGCGAGGGAACTGCCAGAGATGATACTTACAGCAGGACTGGATGTTTCAATGAAAAGGGATAGAAATAGCAGAAAGTCACTGGCTTTGTGGGTGCAGGTCTCTGCACAAGGGATCATTCTTAGGGAAGCCAGAGATGATACTTACAGCAGGACTGGATGTTTCAATGAAAAGGGATAGAAATAGCAGAAAGTCACTGGCTTTATGGGTGCAGGTCTGCACAAGGGATCATTTTTAGGGAAGAGAAATACAGGTTCGGGCTGGCTTTCATGATTGTCAGCTGTACCTTGAATCTGCAGACATTTGATCGGTAGAGATCATTCACAGTGTTCACCCATCAGCTGAAATTATCTCTGTGAAAAGCTGTTTGTGTTAGAGAAGTGAAGGAGATTTATAAAACAAATTTTTCCAACGTCCTCCTAAATTGTAGTCCCTAACTGTCAGTGGGCAGATTACTGAAATATGTTGATACAAAATGAAACAATAAAAAAAAAAATTTTGCTGAATTAGAGGAATTGCTGTGGAGCTGGAAATTTTAATAGGTCGGTTTCTACAGGAAAATATTATCCTTGGATCTTATGATCGTTTGTCTAATTGATAAGTGTTATTGCCAATGAAAACGGTGCTGCTATGCAGGGTGATTTGTCTGGGGGGTTTTGTGAGATGCTTGATCACGACCAAGTGGATTGAATTTGGTGTGTTTTGTTTGGGTTTTTTTCCCTCTTTGGTAAAGACTGAAGCAAGCCATGTGCCTGATTATAGCAGCCTGTGTCTCTGGATAAAAAAAGACAGGGCTAGAGATCCTACAGCTGGCTGGTTCGTGTGGATTATTTGGGTAGGACAGGCAGAAGAGGCTACGCTTGATCACAGAGAGTCTGTACACCTCGCAGATGGTGTTTTGAAACAGTATCTGCCAGTTTGCTGCAACCACAGTTGCATGTAGGTATTGCCAGTTGTTGGAAGAATGTTTTGCTTTTAGGATTTTTGTACATGGTCATACCCTACTGCTGGTATGTTTGCTGATCCTCTGGTTGTAACAAGAAATTGGGCTCTGTCTGCTCAAAGCACAAGCCTAAGAGGATTTATATGGTTGAAATATGGGCAAATTAATTTGCATAGATAACAAGTGAGGACTATGAAAGGTCAATTTAACCCTTTAAAGATCAAATCTGATTTGCATGCGTTACATTCCTGGGAATGTGGTCTCCATTAGAAATACTATGGTAATTCATTAATTTGGAAAACTGTGCATTCTGCATAATTTTAATCCACGGACGTTTCTTTTTTTATTTGTATGAGACTCATCTTCTCGTGCAGTTTCCTATTTCTGTGTTTTATTAAGATATTTAAATGTACTAAAATTACACCATCTTACCAGTTTTGACCCTTGTGTGCATTATTTGGGGCTATTGGCAAACACTGTTGGAATGCCTAGAGTGGAGGTTTTTGAAAACCTATTAAGCCTTTGGCATTTAAATTACTTAATCTACCTGCTGGTTAAAATTTCATGCATCTTTAATCAAAATGGCATACGCTACACTCGAGTATGTATACCCTTATCAATACTCATTACGCTTTACCATTAAATAAATCTTTAATTTCCAGCATTCTGTTAAAGCAGTAGCAAGCAAGAAGTGTGTTTTAATGTCAGCTCAGAGTGTTAGAAAACCTTGCACTTGGATACAGAGAATACACTAACAGCTGTGACTGGGAGCATGTGCCAGAATGGAGATAGTTGAACAGATCTGACACTTGGCTATTTTTGACACCCATCTGCACTTTTTTACTCTCCTCTAGGATGAACTGCCTCTCAATCTGTTCACAGCATATTTTAGCCCTTTAATATTGTGGTGTTGGGTTTTTTCAAATGGGCATTATTAGCCATCTGGGGCAGATTTTGTATGTTAAAAAGTAAGCACATTATGTACAGGAGATTAAAAGGATGTGTATTTTTATGTAATCTGATATGATGTCAGTCCCTTTTGTGTATGTGTGAAGTCTTGATTTCAGAAGCATCCCTTTAGTGATTCTGACATCTGAAGTCCTTCTTTTGGGGAAAGAACAGGAAGTAATAAAGACGGGTTCTGGTTTACGTGTAGTGATAACACTTTTACACAAAACAAATTTGCCCTTCAAAGACGAACTGCTCGTACTGTTCTAATTCCGACTGGCCGCTCATCTCGCTTCCCTGTCAGGGCAAAGCGACAGCAGCGAGCCTTGCTAATGAAATGTTGTAAAAGCGATTCAGATCTCTGTTCAGGCACTACTGCAACTCTGAGAAAAGTCTCTGGAAAGATAATCCCGTTAACATGCTGCTTGCAGTAACCGAGTTAACCATTTTGTCAGTCTATGTAGTGAACTCTAGGAAGTGCTTATCTCTAAATAATTGATGCTGGGGGAACAGCGTTCAAACCTAATACCATACACCGGTTTGTCTGATTACTGTGAATGTGTGTTGTGTTTTGGGTTTTGTTTGTTTGTTTGTTTTGTTTTTGTTTTTTTAACTGTTTATTCTGGACTTTATTTATGAAACATTACAAATCTATCAGTCATTTTATAGTACTTTCAAAGAACAGATGTTGGCCTACAAAATGCTTTATTATTGCCCATGGCAGTATTCAGCATAGTTTCCTTAAAAGGACAATCAGTGATCACAGTCATTGTAGCCCAGAAATAATGCTGCTCTTTCAGAAGATGGCCTGGTATTAGGTCAGACCACCCTTTCTTTACTTCTGCTCTCCAGATGTGGCTGCAACTTTTTTTTTTTTTTTAAGTTCATGTTTCAAAAAAAATGGGTTTGTTTTCAAAATCTGGTTTTACTTAAGATATCTCCATCCTGGAGTGCATTTCATAAATTGCCCACATATTTTTCTTAGCAGAGAACTTAACTGGCTGTAATTTTTAACACATGGCCACATCATGTGATATTTTCAAAACATTTGCACATAGCTTTAAGAAGGTCCCAGCAGAAATGATCCATCATCTCATAGCCAGCCTGTTTCTTAACAGCATATCTGCATTTTCCATTTAGCAGAGCTATATATTATTAGCTTACATTTTGGGTAGTAAAACAGTGCATTGCTGATTGTAAAACATGGACTTTATTATCTGCTGAAAATTGATTTGGCATTTATAGCCACTGTGTACTAGACTGGCTTTCTGGTTTTAACATTAATGCTTGCAAGTGATGATTTGTTTAAAGAACAGAAACAAAATTGCCATGGACATAACTGTTAGTGTCCTAGTAACTGAACATTTGGATTATCCACCTGTTTTTTAAATACGTGGGTCTAAATGCTGTTGTACGGCAAAAGTCTCCTAACAGTCCATTAACCGACTTGTTCTGTTTTAAATTGCAGTTGCTATGCTGTTATATTAGGACAATTCTGTGTCTTACAAAACAAGTTTCCTGCCAAATGGGGAAAATGTGTCTGGGAATACTCGAGTCCAAGTGTTAACCTTGCATCATTATTCCAATCATCCTACATAATGACTTTATCTTCTTCAGGATTCGGGTAGGAGCGAGAAGCTCTTTCCTGAAGAGGACTGTAGGTCACTAGGTTCTTCAGGGTTTGGGAGATGACGTGTAATGACTTCCTTTCCAAAGTATTAAAGTTTCTTCTTCTTTTATGGTAGTAATAAATTCCAAAGTCTGCATGACATTATTGCTCTTATTTTCAACCCATGGGGCTGTGAACGGCATCTTGCTGCATATTCATGGAAAGTAACTAACACATCATGGGATGCAGATCATGCTGCAGAAATAGCTGTTAATATATATTTTTCAGCTGGGTCCCAAACACTTTCCCTGTGAAGATTTGGTGCTTTTCAACTCAGACCCTTAGCTGGAGAGGAACAAACAAATCAGTTTCTCAGGACTGATACTTTCTTGGTGTGCGTAGGGTGTTCAGCACCTACTGCATCTTGATTTGAAGATTTTGGACTTCACACTAGTACATAATTGCCAGTTAAGGCATGATCATCGTAGCTTGAAAATCAACATGATCTGTTTATATGCAACTTATAAAAAGACTTGAATACCAATTTTGGGTAAAACAAATTCTAAAATGATGCGATATGCATACCTGAAAAGTCTAAACAGAGAAGCTGATACATGTAAGAACAGAAGAAGACATGGTATGCGGTCCTTTTCAGGACCTGTACCTATACTTGTACCACTTTCCTGATGTGTTTGCTGCATCCTTTTTGCAAAGGATAACTCTACAGAAAAACAGTTGAAGCCTGATCTCTCACTACCAGGTCACAGTCTAAAGCTCGGTGCACAAGACAACTTCTGCACTGGAAGCAGTAGGTGGTTTCCAAATCCAGAATTGCATGCCATTGAATTGGCATCAACTCTCTCCTCATTCCAGATGCATCACTGTTACAGATTTAAAGTTTCCCAAGCATGTAGAGCTGCATCTGTGCATGCTAAGATCTAACTCAGTATTGACAGGGTTAAGTAGGCCAATGCTGAGTTCACACCTCTGTCTTTTTGGCATTGGAGTGTTTTTGTGTCATAGAATCATAGAATGGTTTGGGTTGGAAAGGACCTGAAAGATGCATTGAGTTCCCTCCCCCCTGCCACAGGCAGGGACACCCTCCACTAGCCCAGGTTGCTCAAAGCCTCATCCAGCCCGGCCTTGAACCCCTCCAGGGATGGGGCATCCACAGCTTCTCTGGGCAACCTGTTCCTGTGTCTCACCACCCTCACAGTGAAAAATTTCTTCCTAATGTCTAGTCTAAATTTACCCTCTTTCAGCTTATACCCGTTACCCCTTGTCCTCTCACTACACTCCCTGATCAAGAGGTCCCCCCCAT